TTAAAAGATGATGTAGAATAGGAATAGAATACATGCCGTTTCAAAGTAGCACTTCTCTGCCTTAGCAAAGAAATCTTTCTCTCTGAGCCTCTGAAAAATATTATTTGCATGCTTTCCATTTTCTGCTATAGATTTGATAAATAAGAGGATGTTAACCCAATATAGCATAACAGGTGACAATAACATAATCTAAAAGACATTGTTTGTTGATGTCAGGAACATAGTCCCAATATGCAAAGTACAGAATAGTACTGGTCAGGGCCGGATTAACATAGGGGCTGATGGAGCTGCAGCTCCAGGCCCAGGCCCATGGAATAGGCCCATTGATTTATTTAAAAAACAAAACAAAACAAAAAAAAAACATTTTTTTTTTTACATTTTTTTTTTCACACACTACTCTTAGGGATTCCACCTGGCTTTTATTTTATTGGCACAGTATTTGAGGCTGCTTGGCTGGTGCCAATATTACAGTGATACTGGCAATACAAATGCTGGTATTTGTCTCAGTATAAACAAGAGATTACTATGCAATACCAGCACTGGCCAGTAGGGGTCGCTGTGTGTGGAGACAGGCAGGGATAGGAAGTTCCAGCATATCCCTCCCTGCCTATCTATACTCGCTGATCTGCAGGGGTGCAGCTACAGAGAGTCCAGACAGCAACTCCCACCCTGCAGAGACAGCCTACAGCTCAGGGAAGTAAGGGATGGGGGAAAGGCTGCAAGGAGACATACACTGAGACACTAAGGGACATTGGGAGACATTATGACACAGACACAGTCTTCCAGTGTCCCCATGTTTCCCAGCCAGTGTCCCTGGTGTCTCAGTGCCCCCCTAGTCTCCCAGTGCCCCCAGTCTGCCAGTGTCTCACTGTCCCCATGTCTCCTAGTGCCTCCATGTCTCCCAGTGCCTCAAGTGTCTCAATGTCCCCATGTCTCCAAGCTAGTGTCCCTAGTGTCTGTGGCCCTGGTGTCTCCTTGTCCCCATGTCTCCCAGTGCCCCCATGTCTCAAGGTCCCCATGTCCCCCAGCCAGTGTCTCTAGTGTCTGTGTCCCTGGTGTCTGTGTCCCCATGTCTTCAAGTGTCCCCTATTTTCCCAGTGTCCCCATGCGTCCCAGCCAGAGTCCCCTAGTCTCCCAGTGTCACTGGTGTCTCCGTGTCCCTAGGTCTCCCCGTGTCCCCAGGTCTTCCCGTCTTCCTAGTGACATGGGGAACCTGGGATACATGGGATCACTGGGAGATCTGGGGACATGACACTAGGGGACACTGGGAGACATGGGGTACTGAGACACTGATACATAGGAACACTGAGACCTGGCGTAATCGACACATGGGGGCACTGGGAGACATGGGGCCACTGGGAGGAATCCATCTATACAGCAGAATCAAACTAAGTAGTTTTTTTGTGATTTTACAGCATTTTCTCTTATGTCACTCCTTGTGATTTACATCATGTGATGTCACCCATACATATTTAATTATGCAAATTAGCAAGGCCGGTATGTTTTTCCAAGAAAGGTGGCAACTCTAACTACTTTTCACATACCCTTACTTAAGTATGGAAACTTAAGAGGGATTTATTGGAACAAAACTTGTGTGGACTGGCTGACAATGAATATAGTTAAAGGGACACTAGGGTCACCAGAACAACTACAGCTTATTGAATTTGTTCTGGTGAGTAGAATCATTACCGTCAGGCTTTTTGCTGTAAACACTGTCTTTTCGGAGAAAATGCAGTCTTTACATTACAGCCTAGTGTACTCAGCCAATCCTATGGGTAAGCACTGTGATTGGATTAGGCCACCACTTCTAATGATGTCAGCAGACTGCTTGTTTTTCTGAGTCTAACAGCATGCAGAGTTACAGCTTCAGGCTTGAATACAGTAAGATTTTGCTATATTTATGGAGGCATGAGGGGCCCAGGGGGGCTTGATGGTGGTGTTAACACTATAGGGTCATGAATTCATGTTTGTGTTCCTGACCCTATAGTGATCCTTTAAGGTAATGCTGACTTTGGTCTCTCTAACAATGTGCTTCTACACTCACTACATACAGATTTTCTCTATCCCAGACTATATACCAGGAGCTTCTGCCTGCTAGTAAGAAGGTAAGGAGACAAGTGGACCAGCAAATGCTAGGGGACAGTCCTTAGAAAGCGTTGAGCGAGCGCATCATTAGATGCATTTATGCCAAGCTCAGGGTGCTGTCTGCATAGTATGCCCTTAGTTGGCCAGCTGCATGATTGGCAGGCAGCCTGACATGCATTCATACCAGGCTGGCCTTCTAATTCTTTGGGCAGACATATCCTCTTTTTGGGCATGTTCGCCCCTTTTGGCAGGTTACATGATTTGTGTCAGTGGCACACCCTTTTACCGTGCCCATTGACTTCCTGCTTGACTGGACACTGCTGTTAGGGGTTATGGATTTACTTGAAAGATGAAAACATAAATTAGTGAGAGATTAGCCTAGGGTATGTGTTTTCTTATAGCTGCTGTTTTCTTTCTCTCCAGCACCATCTCCATCAGATACATGACGCTTGGGAGGGTTTTACTGTTTTTGGTCGATATGATTCTGTAATTAGGCCCGTCATAATTGTCAGCACCAGGTCCACTGGGCTCTTAATCTGGCCCTGGTACTAGTGTATATGAAAGTACAAATATGTTGAAAGTGTGTATTATTCATCCATAGAGGTGGCCATGAGTGACATAATACAAAAATAGATTGGTCACCAAATGGTCAAAGAAGGAATACAGAATAGCTACAGATCAGGTAGGCAAGGTCAGGCTTAGAGAGATTAGGAGAGGCATTTTTTTTGCTATACCATAAAATGAGGTTTTATTCCTGGAAAAATTAGAGAAGTTCTGCACAAGGTGGGGCTATATTTAAAGGACCACTACAGGCACCCAGACCACTTCAGCTTAATGAGGTGGTCTGGGTGCCAGGTCCTTCTAGGGTTAACCCTTTTTTTTTTTTATAAACATAGGAGTTTCAGAGAAACTGCTATGTTTATAAATGCGTTAATCCAGCCTCTAGTGGCTGTCTCATTGACAGCCGCTAGAGGGCTTCCGCGCTTCTCACTGTGATTTTCACAGTGAGAAGATGCCAGCATCCATAGGAAAGCATTGTGAATGCTTTCCTATGGACTGGCTGAATGCACGCGCAGCTCCTGCTGCGCATGCGCATTCAGCCAAAGAGGAGGAGAGGAGGCGGAGAGGAGGAGGAGAGCTCCCCGCCCGGCGCTGGAGAAAGAGGTAAGTTTAATTCCTTCCTCTCCATCCAGCCCGTTTTCCTGGCACTATAGTGGTCCTTTAATGGGTTGTACACCTAGTAAATGCAAGTTTGAAGTAGAGTTGGCTGAATTTAGTATGCTGTATCTACTGGTCATCAGCAACACTTTTAAAGGGACACTATAGGAACCCAGACTACTACAGCTCATTGAAGTGGTCTGGGTGCAGTGTCCTTATAGCCCTTAGTCCTGCATTGTAAAACAATGTAAACAATATTTACATTGCAGCACTAACTCAGCCTCTAGTGTCTGAATACCTTTCGCTATATTTTGTGTATACATGTGACTATAGTCTGGCACCTAGCATCAAAATTCTTTGTAAAATACCGGAGCAGGAGTGCAAGGACCATCTATTGTTTTATATATATACACACACACACACACACACACACACACACACACACTTTTTAAGCTTTCAGTCCAAAATATTGTAATTAGTGCCATGATATAATGCTCAGATAAAAGAAGTTTATTTTATTGTGCATACTCTTGTGCATCTCCTTCATACGCAAGGATCCTTTCTATTTTCATTCCTGTCAACAGGAAACATACTTTGCATTCTGCTGCTGTTAGCTGAGCTTTTATCGCATAAATGGCTTTAAAAATGGAATCCATTTCTCTATATTCAAGGTCAGTTAAGGACACTACTATGTAAAATACACTTACTATATAATAAGCACACTCTGAACTTCAACTTTCATAGATGGATTATCTACCAATGCAGCAAAACTACAGAGTCGCAACTGTTCAGTGGCTGCATGTTTGCTTTACGTTGTCAGTAATTCTTATAGTCCATTGATTTTATTTACATCATGAGAATTGCATATCTATATGACTTCATTTTTTGTTATAAGGAAGTGAGCTGTTATCTGTACTATAAAAGTAAACCTCATATGCAAGGCTGTGTTTAGCTGTTCATATTATATCACTTAATGAATATTTGCTTCTTCTTCTAGGAAATAATAAACTATGTGTAAGTAATGCTGGAGAAATGTGTGGCAAAAACAGAATATCTATTTAGTCCCTCTTGCCCTCTTTAAATAAGCTGGTCTCGCCCCTGCCCAGAATTGATAATCTCAGCCAATCCAGTGCTTTCTCATAGGAAAACATTAAGAGGCTAATGTGCATGCACAGCAAAAAAACACGCTGCACCAATCAACATCCCCTCATATGCTGATTGGCTGATCAGCATCTCCTCATTGATGTTGTGCAGCACTGACACAGGAAGTACTTCTAGTGGCCGTCTGAGTGACTGCCACTGGGAGTGTCTCTAGGGAGCAATGTAAACAATGCCTTTTCTATGAAAAGACAGTGTTTACAGCAAAATTCCTGCAGCGACAAACTATATACACCAGAACAACTACAGAGAAATCAGAAAAAAACATAATTTAATGCTTTTATGTTAAAGTGCTCTTTTTATGTATATGTTACAGTTACAGTGCATAAATCAGTTAATGTGCACATTACCTAGTTCATCTAGTGCAGAAAATGATTTTGTTTTTCAAATATTTCTCACATTACCTAGGTAATCTGCACATTACCTACTTGGCACTCGTTAAAATGCAAAAAAATTATTCTGTCCTCCATCTCTCTGAGGGGCTCACAGCTCTGGAGGACACCACGGTGTGCACAGGCTGCTGTTCTGTTCTTGTCTGGACCACATAGTCACATACCTCTTCAAACAGTTATTCTGAACTGGTAAGAAACGAGGAGCCCCCACCACCACAAGAGAGCGAGCGCTTCCTGCACATTATGCAGCAACACCCTGAAATGATCCCAGCAGATGCTCTCCACTGTTCTCAATATCATCATATATTTGAAGACTGTCGGAATCAGTGGTCCATGAGCAGACCTCTCCTTGGTCTCATTCTCCTCAATGAGAGAAGTATTTCTCAGACTTACGGAGCAGCATTGTTAGTAGCCAGCCCCCTCTGAGAAGCAACAAGCCATGCGTCTATGCTTTGAGAATTTGATGGTGGAGGGCATTGAAAGGAACTTGCTCACAAAAAGAATTGAGACAGGTTAACACAGAATCGTTCTGCCTTCAGGCGAGAAGTGAACGACTCTGCAGAGACTGCACTGAAAGGGTGAAACAGGTTCTGCAAAGACGTTTTTGTGATAAATAATTTCCTCTTTTACCGAGGGAGAGAAACAAGCATTTTGCACTGAAAGGGTGAAACAGGTTCTGCAAGGACGTTTTTTGTAATAAATAATTCCTCTTTTACCGAAGGAAAGAAACAAATACTTTGCACTTTAACTAGACGGAAGCAGTTAATGTGCACATTACCTAGGTAAAGTGCGGAAAACTTTTGGTTCCGCACTTTAACGGAGCAAATCAGTTAATCTGCAGATTAACTAGGTAATGTGCACATTAACTGATTTCTCACTTTAACTGTAACTTATATACTTATTTAGGCTCAGATAAAAAAGCATAAACGTTATCTATATGTTAGTTTTTTTTGACATTCTTTATTTTTACGTTATAGAATCACAACATGTATATACGTTACAGTTTAACAGGTTACAACGAGTTAGCGGGACAGTTATGTGTATAACAGCGTTGAAGTAATTTCTGCATTTTACTGATAAGCTGGTTTCGTATTTATAACTCTTACATAGTAATAGGCATTCTTGTATGTTGTGTTGTGTCGTTAGACGTGTAATGGGTTAGACCACATTGTGTTTGGGGGTGTATGGGGTTGTCCCGCGAGGCTCCAGCGTGTTGTCTCATAGCCTGCTCTAACCTCTCAGGGTTGTCATTGTGGGGCTGGGGAGATCATGCATCACCATGAAATTACCTGATCTACCTCATTTGTAGGCATAACTATAAGGGGAGTTTGGTTCAGTGAGAGATTGCCTGTCTCTTTCGTATTGGGCCTATTGTTTCTTGCGGCACCCTGGTTTGGTGGAGGTCAGTGTCGGCGTACATTGTGGTTATTCTTTTCCCCAAGCATTATACTAAGTATTGTGCCTGTGTAACCAGTACCAAGCTGGTGAATACGTTATTACATCTCCAGTCATGTTGTGTCAGCCTGTGCGTTCCGACCCTCGGAGGATACCATAAGGAGCTCTTATTTAGGGTTCCAACCTGGTTAGTATCTGTGCTGTGTGTGGGTTCAGGCCGTAGTGGGCCTGGTGGGGTTGTGTTCAGTCCGAGCTCATGTGGAGGCCCGTTGTGCTACCCCCTGAGCCGTATGACCACCCGCCACTCTCCCTAGGCTTATCTGTTTTGGGGTCTCTCGGGTTAGTTGTCCATGATTCATCTTCGGTCGTGGCTGGAGTGTGCGGTGTGTTCCTGTGGTGTCTTTTTATGCAGGTGCGTGGCATGTGGGGTCTGCGTTAGGCGTCGAACGTTATCTATATGTTGTGCTAACGGAAATGCTTGCAAATTTACACATTTTAAGTATAAATATATAATGATCACGACCCTACCTGCCCATTCGTGCCATGAAGGTTCATGCCAATGACATAAAATACTGTTGGCAAACCATCCTATAGGTGGTTCTCTTACTTTGTTGCACAGTTGCTGTAATTTTTCCTCTAGCAAGCACTTTGACACACAGCTGCACTGACAATAAAGCTATTGTTAATGGGTTGGTTATAAAATACAATATAGTATGTATATATTTTGCAGTACTCTCATAGATCCATTTTCTCACAATTTGGTTCAAATATAGATATTTGTTTACTGTTCATCAAAAAAATAACCAATATTGGGAAAACCAGGAAAAGCAGTAAAAATACTGCTCCTCATTTCTCTCCCTCTATTGGCTACTTCTTACTTTTAGCATTTAGTAGCTGTCTTCAACCATGATTCTTACTAATCAACTCTTGGTATCATGGGTGGAACTCCAAATCACAAATTAAAAGAACATGCCTGTCTATTGTGCAAGTTATCTGTTTCGTGATTAGTCTATTGGAAATCCGGAATTTACATGCTCACCTATGTGGCCCAAATTTGTACTCATTGCAGTTCATAATGAAGTGAATCTCCAATATTCTGCATTTTAGATTTGCATTTAGATAATGTAACATCTAACTGGATGGAAAATATTACTAAAAGCCTTCTGAGTTTCTCTGGAAGCAACAGTTTGTTGAGATTGCTTCATGACTGGAAGCTTTATATTTTGCATATCTTTCTTTACTGAACTCCACTGCAGCAAAAAAAAAGCTACAAAGAAAGAAAAAAACTATTATAAGACTCAAAGTGGTGAGGAGAAGTGAGGTGAAAGAGCCTCAAGCACCTCCTCTTTCTGCTGCTCCACACTGTTAACAGGAAGTGTTTTGGCTCTTCAATGTGTTAACATATAGGAACATTGTGGTACAGAGCTATATAGCATTTGAAGGCCTCTTTCCTCTTCTGGAATCTGACTTACCATCAGTTGGTTCTGCTGACAGAGCATTTTTGGACAGAAGTTTAATGGTGGCTTCTACAATTATAGGTCTGGAATGTGTGCTCAATCTTCAGTCAGCATCTGAATTTTGTGCTGGAGTCAGACTCAGCCTTTGGGGATGGGGCGCTGCCAGCGATGATGTCTCCACTGGGGATACGTGGTTAGAGCAATAAACCTTTCTCCATATCAATTGCCTGGAACTTCTAGTGGGATCCTTTGCCATTCCTAACTTGGCAAGGGGGAGGTCCAACTGTTTCATTTTGCTTCTGATGGGCAATATGTCTGCATTATGCTACATAATTTGGTTAGGGGATGCTCACTCTCAGCAGTTGATGGATTTAACAAAGGAGAGTTACTTCTGCCTTACTCGCAACATTACTTTGAGGGTGGAATACCTTCTGGGAGAGTCAAACCTCATAGCAATTTGGTTCTGCAGACACTGGAGAGACTGGATGTTTTAATGTTTTCCCTTCTGGCCTCAATTTCTTTGTTGCCTTGTCGTTGTGGGAATGCTGGTTCTGCTCCAGAGCACCGGCTGGCTGCTGGGATTGAGTGTAGCTCCTACCATCTCTTTATTACTATCAGACAAGGACCCATGAGTGTACGGAAGCAATGAATTCAGTTGCTAACTCCATCTAGTCCCGTCACCTTCTTATTCCAGAATGTAGGCTGTCTTCCTCGTGAAATGAAAGAGGAAGAAACTTATTTGGCCTTCTCTGTGCATAACCTCGAGTCTACAGCCTGATATTGGCAGTCCCAGAATCAGGACTCTGCCTAAAAGGAGGCCAATATGCATGAAAAGGGAGTGATCCTGCTCGAAATGGGGTATGTTCGCCCTCATTACTGGCAAGTCAACCTGGTGTAAATACACACCAGGCTGCTTGTAAATCATTTTGTCCAGTCCTTTCCAGTGAGGTTTAGTCCCATTCTTGTGCAATACAGTTTGCTGCCCAAGATAATTCTGTACTAAGTATGGTTGATCATTTTTTTTTTAACTGTTTCCAGACAGAATTTTTTTTTTCTGAGTGTGCTCAATCTACTGTGTGCAGTACACAATGTACTGAATGCCAAACACAATAATACAGTAGTAGTAAATATAATGCTTTGTTTAAGCAGCAACACATTTTTCAACACAAACATCTATTTGGGATCAATAATGTTATGTCAGTTTACACAATACACATTCATATCCCAGTGTATTTTAATATAAAAAGCAATCTCACCATCATCAATGTTACCTACTAAACTTCAACAAGAAATTGAGGGAAGGAAGAATTTTTTATTTTTTTTTAACCAATCCACCATCAGCAGTTGTGCTATAACAGAGTCTTAAAACCTCTTTCTTGGCCACGAGGACTGCTGACACAGTGGCCACTGCTGCCACCACCATCACTGCCACTATGACCACTATTATTAGTATTTAGTATTCAACCTTGCACACTTCCTCCCTCTGTACAGTGTGTAGCAGTTTACTGCACAAGTGAACCTATCCTGATTGTGGCAGGTTTTTTTCTAAAATGTGTTGGGGATTCAGTTGGTTGTAGTAATATTTTCGAATGCCTTTCATTGTCATTCATTTTCATGGTTTGGTTTTTGCCCAGTTGGCTGAGTATTGCAATGTGGCTACACCTGTTACCTCCACAGACACAGTTGTAAGAAGCAGATTTGGCACCAATTTACTCCATACTTGGACGGTCACTCATGCCACAAACTGGATGTGTGGGAAAAATTTGTTCCTCTCAGGATTGAATGGATAAGTGGGTAGTTAATTGCCCAGTGCCTTTGGAGTTTTTCCTTCAATTTTTTTGAAAAACCTCTCTTTTTAAATCACCCTTTCCATCCCCTCTTTTTAAAAAAACTTTTCCAGATTAAATGACTCATGCTATTGCTAGGGCTCTGTATTTCCCCCCCATTAATGGAGCGATGGTCACTCACTCTATAGACTGGTTGTGGTGAAAAGCTTTGTTCTTCTCAGGGTGTAAGGTGTGTGGGTCTTCACTTGTCAACTGACCTTTTAATTGTATTATTATTTTTTTTAAATCCCCTTTTTTCAACTTAAAATTACAGCTGCAGCTACTGCTATACATCATTCATTAATACAAGATTGTGAATAAAAATTGGAAAATAAAAAAACAATTATAAAACTACTTTCACTTTTTTAGAGAGATAATTATGACAAGCTGGCTACTCAGAGTTGGCATTGCAAAATGCCTGATATTTCCTACCCATTGCTACATAACATAGTAACATCCCCTCGATATTAGGCAGAAGTAACATTCCCAGTACGTACGTAGAAAGCAGATAATTTCTGAATGTACCTTTCCTGGTTAAATACTTTGTTAATATTATAACACTAGACACTTTTTTCCAAAGTCTTTTTTTGGTTTGTCCAAACTGCTGCAAGGATGTTTATCAGTTGTTCTGAACTCAGGGGCATACCTAGAGAATTAGGCACCCAGGGCAGATCCTGTGTTTTTTACAAATGTGTACATTTTGAAAAAAACCCTGTTCTGTCCCCTTCTACAAAACCGCTCTCCTGCCAGCCGTTCTACAAAACGC